GTGGGGGTTGAGGGGCGGGGGGGGGGGGGTCGGTTAATTTTTGGCCATTTTTTTATTCAGTTGGGACCAATCCTTTGTGAGTTATCTGGCCAGGTTCTGTAAACCGGCTTCTGTACAGGAAGAAAAATTCATAAAGGAATTATTTCTATGAAACCTGTCAGGACTATACATATATAAAAAATGATTGGTGTATAGAAATTTTTTTTACAAAATGTGTACAAACTCTCACAAAGGTATGAATCCCACATAAATAAATAATGTTAAAAAATTAACCCACCCTCGTCCCCCCACACCCCCACGTGAGGTGTTGGTAAGGGCCTGTATACTTATCATCACTCATACATATATTGGCAAAGAGGTTGCTACATGTAACAGAGCCACGTAAATAAGGTGGACGCCCGGCACCCTCCTATTGGAGGGTGCGCTTGGCCAACCGGCGCCCCCTCCAATAGGGGGTTACCGGGTGTCCATTTTGGACACCCTTATGTATAACAAGAATAATCCATATTGGCAATCGTTAAACGGATAGAATGCCTGAGTTTCTCTAAAGGCCAACGTTGATTTGATAGGGATAACTCATGATAAAAGTAAAGGAAAGAAAGGAACCATGATTGACAAATGTCTGAATTCGTTGTTGGAGAAGCTTTTGGTAAACAAGATAGTGTTCGAGAAGGTCCATTTTCTTCAAATCTGAGGAGGACCACGCTAAAGAATCAGAGAACAGTTTATACTTGATTCACACATTATTGTATGCAAATATCAATCCTTCTACGAATGCAGCCATTAACATTATTACGGCATACCATGTTAATTTTCCAAGGGTACTTAGTACGATCACCAAACTCACAGGAAAACTAAAGCCACCAATTTGAGAATGCACAAGGCAGAACAAACAAAGTGTTATGGATTTATATTTCTATTATTGGTTCAAATATTTATTTGTTTTTCCCTTTTTTTGAGGTTTTTTGAATTTACAAATGGAAAGTAAACCATTTGTCAAAAGAGGAAACACTTTATATTCATTTTTAAAAAAAGGATGGTCAATGAAGTGAAAATATACTATATGATGGATTCATCGAAGATCAACTTTCAATTTCTATCTTACCACATCCTTCAATATCGTCTCCAGAAATTGAAATATCCGTGAGGATCAAGCTTAGGAATATATCCCAAACTCACTCCATTGGTCGACCCTCTTTTCGAGCGTGCTTATGCATTATCTACCCACTCTGGCATCGATTTAAATGTGCAACCTCAAGTTTTGATACTAGTAATGATGCAACGAAATATGAAAATAAAGGCATGAATACGAAAACAAGGTAATTACAAGTCCGTTGATTCTACAGTTACTGGAAAATGATTAAGATTGGAGACTAACAAACGAAAACCTAGGATTTTTACCAAATAAAAATCCCTTACTTTTTTTTTTTTGAACAAATTTTTTCCATCAGCAAATTCTGTTTTCTAATCATATAGTATTATTTAAAGCCAAGACAACAATAGCAACTACGTATCTGTTTGATCTAGATTAAATTTTCAAGTCAAATCTACTTTAAATTTTAATCAAACATTTCATGAAACACAACTTTCAACCACACATTTCATCAATTTTTATTAAAATTCTACTAAAAATTGAATTTTAACCTACACCATGAAGGGGCTAAATTTTATTGTCAATATATTTTGAGCAAACCATGCAAATTTCATTGTAAATAATCTCGTGTAATTCAGTTGCTGATTCAAATCCTTGAAAGAAAAATATAAATACATCAACAAATCATAGCGATAAGGAAAACTCAATCTCTCAAATCCCAAATATTCCTAACTAGGAGTTATGTCATATTCCCATGGTTATTGTCCGTTCTCTTTCTCCAGGTGGTAACTGGTGAAGCAATCACAAGGCTTCCCTATTTAAAAAATAAAAAAATAAAAAAAATTTAAAAGATTAGAAGTCAAATCTGGTAAAATCGATGATAAAGTATCTGTAAATAATTTTCATGAAGGATTTCTCCAATAAAACAAGAAACACATGTGTGAGCAAATGTTCTTGTTATAGAATATTTATTCAAAACACAACACACAAACGATTAAATAAAATAATGAAATAAATATAACTACACTGGTAGGTAAAATTTCAGTCAATGAAATTCATTTATCAACTGTGGTTATAATTGAATCCATATTTGAATGATGCTATAATTGTGGCTCAAACATAATCCCACATGGAATAGTTACCCCCTTGCAGTGAGACTGGCCATTATCCCACATGGAATAAAATGTAAAAGCTTCCATCTTTGTGCTTCGACATAAAGAGAGCTCTCCTTTCCTTTGTGTTTCTCACATTGAAAAGAAACTAGGAGTCTTCTCTTTGAGTTATCTTTTGGTTAGAGTCTAACATATCATTAGTGTCGTCCATGGACATAGACAAAGTTTGGGACCAAGTAAATCTATCTATTCTTATCTCTTATATATTGTTCCTATCTCATGGTCTTCTTTGCAACAAGTTGTTTCGTGTAGTAGAGTTTTGGTTGAATATGGTTTGGGAAGGTTATGTCTAAAGCAATTGAGTTTTAAGTGAGGCTTATAACTACTATAAGCCTATTCGGTAGTAATTATGATAATTGATTTTTTGATTGACAGAGAGAAAAGTGAGTCCCACGTGTAAGTAAAAGAGTAAAAAATGATGGATGACTATGTAAAGTAACAGCCTATTTTTTGGGATGAAAAATCAGAACCAAACGGTGGCTATATTTTTCTTGGAAAATTATATATCGTCCACTATTGACAAATTCACTAAATCAGAGGCTCTCTTCTTGCTCATTAAGGCTACAAATATATGAAATTTAGAATTCAGTAGGAAGAATGCTTTTGTTCTTTGGAGTGTAAATGTGCTAGCTTTATCAGGTTAAAAGGATATATCAGAGGGTTTATCATTAACCATGAACAACCATGAAAAAAACGATCTTTCCCTTGTGGGCAGTAGACACATAGCAATCCAGTTATCCTCACCAACATAAACAACATTTGCACACCATTAAAATGATTCGACAACTATAAAATCTTATCTTAACGAAGTTAACAAGCTTGTTCAAGACTTGGAGAGCAATCAGATGAAAATTGAAGATGACGATAGGGCTTAATTATGCTGTGTTCCCCGCCAGCATTTTATACGAGAAAGATTCTTTCTTTCAATGAAAGATATTGTGTCACTCCAAAAAATTTCAGAATTGAGCTGAGGATGTATATTTTGGTCATATTTGGGCTTCTATTCTTAATTATTTGTTACTATATTGAGTGAATATCTACCTAATTTTGTGTAAAATATGTTAATTGTAGGTAAAATCTCAAATTGGATGTAATTGGTGTAAAAAGGACATTTTGGAGTTTAATAAAGGTTGATTAGAGCAATTGAAGATTACTCGAAGTTCACATGATCAATTTGAAGAATTAACGAGCATTTAGAAGAAATTCATAAATTTTGTGAGTTAACTTTAAGAGTTAGAAAGTTCAAGGATTAAATTATAAATTTTGGAACTTGCATAGGATCAATTATTGATAAGTTTGAAATAATGATGATTAAGTTGTGAAGATTACAAGATAAAGGACTAATGATGCAAATGAGGAAGGACTCAAGCTGAATCAATAGGAGAAGTAAAGAATCAAAACGAACACAACGGGGAAAGTTGATACTTGCACAAGCCATACAGGCTGCGGTCGTACCCTTGAAAATAAAAAAGTAGAAAGCAAAACCCGCCAACAATGCAATCACATAGTATTAATTCCAGCCAAATAGATTCATTTCCTTATTTTTTCAACTTCCATTTGGAAAGCACTTAGATCATGAATTTTGACCTAATTCTTAGTCTATAAATAAATACATTTATTAAACAAAGGAAGCTTTTGAGGATTCAATAGACATATTAATCGAGCCAAAAAGGCACTTCGAGTTGTGAATTCCAAAGTCTTTCAAAGAAGAAAAGGCCAAAGATGAAGTTTTAATCTAAAAATCTATATTCTTTCAAAGCTTTATAGAAGCTTTGCTACAAATCACATTCATACATGCTTTCATACTTGTATTGCTTAGATTGAAGCAGAAGATGAATAAAAGAAGATTGATCAAGAAGCCTTTAAATAGATTCATGACTTTCAAAATTTCTTTCACAACATCTTTTAGAACTTTAATTCTTAGTGTTATTGTATCAATTATTTTACCCTTTTGTAATTAATTTTATGTTCGACTAATTGTATATATGCTAGAATAACATTGAACTCTACGTTTTGATATCCGAAATTCCAAATTTTAACATAAATATGTGTTTGATTTTGAATGACTGTTGAGAATTTAATGTTTTTCATCTAATTGATTATGATTTGAATTATTTTTGGATTTCTACAGACATTCGAGAAAAGAAAAAGGATCATTAGAAAGTTTCGATATGAATGGAGATATAGTGCTATTTTACGCATGATCCTTTTTTATGCATCATTGCATCATGCTTTATAGACATTAGTTAATTTAGTTCTAGTGCTTCGAAGTTCAAGTGTTTGCTCAATTATTTGAGCATCATAAACGCTGCCCATTAGTTAGTTTAATTAATTTAGTTACTGTTGACGTGAGGTCTATATGAGGTGTATTCCTAGAATCACTCTTGATTGTGGTTAGTTAGGAAAGTTTACCATGTTGATGTAATACAATAATATCTAGTAAACTAGGCAGTTTTCCTTTCTTTGGTCTTGTAAATTTCAAAAACTCTCCATTGCAAATCACGGTTGACATGGTATCAGAGCAACCCTGAGTTTTTTTCGTACTTGTATTCTGTATTCCAAATTCCGAATTGATACAGTTAGCTTCATTGCACTAAATCCACACGAAATTACTATATCTACGATAGCCCCGCAGCAAACTATTCCAACACCACATATTGTTGTGCAATAGGATAATTCTGCATTCCCAACCGGAGTCATGTTGGAATAGAATAACTACCCATTATGGTCTCAACTTATGGAGATGCAGATTGGTGCTCTTAACAAGGCAGGGTACCTGATCGGAAAGATGGCAAAACCTGCACTAGGAGGACCACATCTGGAGATTTGGATTACTAAAAACCAGAGTCAAGAGCTGGCTTATTGATTCAATGAGCCCACCATTGATACAGCGATTTATTCGCCTTTCCACAGCAAAGGAGATATGGGAGGTAGTGGCTCGAACATTCTAAGACAGATCAGATGAAACTTGCCTTTTCGAATTGAATCAGAGATCATTTTCTACAAAGCAAAATGGCCGTCCATTCTCAACATATTATAATGAACTGGTTGCAATTTTTCAAGATATTGATCCCAGAACCATGTCTCAAGAAGGAACAGTTGAAGGAGTTGTTTAGTTGAATTCAGCTATGGCTAGACTTCGAGTTATATATTTCTCAGTGGACTCAACTCTGAATATACACAGGTGCATGGAGAAATTTTGCAGAAAGATCCGAAACTTGATCTTGAGAGTGCTTATTCCTATGTTTAGAGAGAATTTTAGCGGAGACAAACTATGGGAGGCACTAACCTAATCTCAGAAAATTCAGCCATGTTAGCAAATCGAACTTGCCAAGGATATCTAGGGGGTCCATCTAGAGATGTCAACGAGCCGATCCAAGCTGACTCGCGAGTCGAAATTCTAGGCTCGAGCTCAGCTTGGGTAAAATATCTTAGCTTTCCCGAGCCAGGCTGAGCAAAAGCTCGGCAAAAAAATTAGGCTCGACTCAAGTTGAGCCAAGCCGGGCCAGGTCGGCTTAGGTTTTGTTTAGTTTATCTTTTTTTTTTAATAATTAAAAAGGCAGCAGGTCGCTGCTTTGTTTGGCAGCAACCTGGTGCCTTTACCTTGCTGCCTACTTTTAGTAGCAGCACGATGCCTTAAAAGATAATGTGTTGCTGCCTTTAATTATTTTAAAAATATATGCTCGGTTCTCCCGAGCTTCTAGTCGAGCCACGGGCGGCCCGAGCTACGATGCCTATTGCCATCCCTAGGTCCATCAAAAGGTAATCCAAGGAAACCTTCTAAAGGGCTGGTGTGTACCCATTGTGGTGAAACTGATCATACAAAGCAAAAATGCTACGAGATCATAGGCTACCCCGAATGGTGAGACTTTACGAAGAAACCTTGAAAAAACATTGCGGGGAAAGCTATGATAGCATCCACGATAGAAGAATCGATGCAACTTACAGTAAATACGACAAATGTTGTCCAAGTATGCTAAGTAATGCTTTCCATGTCACTTCTAAGAATAGTCTATGGATTATTGATACAGGTGCATCTAAGGGACCTTAGTCAATTAAATTTTTTTACCCCTTCTTCTCAGTAATGTATTTCTACAACCAACGAGAGTATCTCTCCTATTACTGGGGAGGGACGTGTCGTTTTATTTGATACCCTTACATTAGACACTGTACTTGTAGTTCCTTCTCTTGAATATAATCTCCTCTCTGTTTGCAGGATCACTTCTACCCCTTCTTGCACTGTAACATTTTGGTCTTATTTTTTTTTGTCTTTCTGTAACATTTTGGCCTTATTTTTTTTTTTGTCTTCCAGGACATTCTAACTCGGAAGATTCTTAGTTATAGTATTAGACGGGGCAAACTCTATTACTTGGAATTAACTAAAAAAGGTGGGGTCAAAGCTCAGTTAGGCGTACCCAAAAAGTAGCAAAGATAAGAGTAGGGAAATTGTTTGGTTGTGGCACCGAAGGCTTGGACACCTTTCTTTTGGTTATCTTAGAAAACTAGAACCGCATTTATTTTCTAATTTAGATGATGTCAATTTTCATTGTAAAACTTGTGAACTGGCTAAGAGCCATCACATTTCTTATTTGCCAAATTTGAATAAAACTTCAGTGCCTTTTATGGTTATTCACTTGGATAT